AAGGTATATATACAAATATGGTTTATTGTGAAATTGATTGACAATAGAAGAAAACCACTTATTAAAAAAAAATATAATAATGTTCAAGCTCAATCTTAGATAAAATGTTTGAAAGTGAGTTAAGATAAGGTATATAGATAAATATGGTTTATTGTGAAATTGATTGACAATAGAAGAAAGCCACTTATTAAAAAAAATATAATAATGTTCAAGCTCAATCTTAGATAAAATGTTTGAAAGTGAGTTAAGATAAGATATATAGATGTAACGCCCACTTTTGATTTAAAGAAAATAGTAATATTTTCAAGAAAATTTAAACTTTTCAAAAATCTGAAAATCCTTTTTATTGGGTCGTTACTCATAAAATTCTTTCTTTTCTGAAAACTCTAACTCTCAAATTGACTGGAGACATGCAATAACTCAAAAATGCATTAAGTCTCAAAATACTAAATTTCATAATCCTCAAATCAAACATGCAATCATCTTAAAAATCCAATGTCTCGACATGGGAAATGTAATACTGAACATAACTGCAATGTCTAAAATAAATAACTGAATAAAAATAAACTGATGACCACACTGCCCTGCCTCCAGTGCCGCCAATCCAGCTGCTTAACCTGAGAGGTTGGTGTGGGGGGTGAGCATAATAATAATCAACGGGCTCACCTGGAGTCTATATAATACGATCATTCGAATTAAACAAAAGATACTGTTGTAAGCAGATATAATACACAAGCCATGGTTTCAAAAAGAGTTCTAGCAACCAAAGCAGTACTAAGGTGCAACTGAAAAATTCTAGCAACCATCGGAGTATTGCCCCTCAGGTGCACTGGTTGTCTACTTAGCCCTTCGGAGTACTGCTCCTCGGGGGACTAGCTAGCATGCGACATATCTGATCTGGGAACAACTACAAAAATAGCTGTTCATACCATACGTGATCAATCGTCCGGTATATAACTGAAAAACTGGAAACACATAATTCATGCAAATAACAGCAAACAAAAATATCACAGTTTTTAATCAAAATGATGTACTAGATAGACTTCCCCACCTGGATACTCTGGTTCTGCTACTGAGATGAGTTGTCGCTTATGTGGAAAATCGAGGGCTCGACTCCTCGGAATCTACATGAATTAAGCGATACTCGGATAAATAACTAATTCTGATTTGGTAAATTAAATTTACCAATTGAAGGATTTTCTAGCTTAAGGTTCATGACTTATAGACTTTATGCTCTTTCTTAGATGATGGAACTCTCGACTCGGAATCTTTAAAAATTCTCAAAATTAATCCTATAAAAATCTATAATTAGCCTCGACTCAAAAATAATCTTAACGCTCGGGACATTTTAAAAAGGGCTTTTAAAACTATTAAAATTTGGTTCGGGATTGGAAAAAAAAAAGAGTTGGCCGCAAAGGACAGGACGCGGGGCTTTGTGGGTCGCGGGAGTCTTCTTCACACGGTAGGGTCGACAGTAAGGCGTCGCACAGGCTGCTATCACACGGGCCTCGCGGCACACGACGTACGCGGCAAGCGCCGGCTGCCCGCCTGCTTACGGGTGCGCCTGCGTGCTCGCGGCAGTGGCCTGGCAGCATTCCGACTGTCGTGACCCGACACCATGCTTCGGTTTTTCCCGACAACTTCCTCGACCCAACGACACATCTTACGACCAACTTTTAAAAACATTTGGAGTCCACAATACCATATTTTTCAACATAAAAATAGGCTAAAATAATTTATAAAAATCTCCTTTTTAAACCAAAACTTAAGGCATATAAACTCAATAATGTCATGTCTAAAACAAAACAATACAACAGTAGCTTAATCATACTAAAATTTTGCAGCCTGAACAATTTTCCTTTTGAAAGTGAAAGCTCCACAAGCATTGCAAAAAGGGTTTCGATTTATTTAATCGCACTTGGAAAATTAAAATAAGATTGCCTCCAGCTACTACCACATAACAACAGAGATAAAACTTTCTCCATCTATATCTAAACCTTTTCTCAATATTTTCGAAATAGTTAAAAGAATTTAAATAAGGTCATTGCATGATCTCACAAATCTTAGGACCATTATCCTTACTGCTGCAACCCAAATTTCATGACTCCATCTACTTACACATAAATTCATGAGCTTGAGGCAACATAATAAGAATACGAGAGTTCCACATAAATTCTTACCGCTTTAAGAATTCATGAATATCTAAATTACACAATTCTCATTTCATGAATTCAAACTCATTTAAAACTCGTGAACCTTAAGCATGGGAAAAACCTTAAACTTTAAATCTGAAATTAAAGAGAGGTATACCTCCTGGGAATGAAACGAAAATGAAAAACTGAAAACGACGAGTCTCGGACGTCCGGTTTCGGCCTCGGATCTTACGACGGCTATCTGTTATGCTGATCGAACAAACGGGGATGCTCGAACGGGATTGCTGTAGTTACGCACAAAAGCGGGGACTGCTTTTGCTGTTCGGCCGCTGAACGAAGGCTGACGGGGTGCCGCTGCTATTCGGGCCGCTGAACGGAGGCCGACGGGGTGCCGCTGGAAAGCACCGGCGAGGTTAAAGGCTGCGATTTGATGATATGGCAGAGGCGATGATATAAATTGCTGAGGTGCGGTTGAGAAAATTGAGTTTGGGAGCAAGAAAATAATTCTGATTGTGGTTGGAGCTTCTGATCGTGTGCGAGAGAAAAGGTAATATAACGTTGATGAAGAGAAAATATTTGAGGTGGTTGGATGAAAAATTCAAACTTCCTTGAACATTGCAGATTGAGTACGAAATGGTTGGAAAAGAATAAACTGATCTATAAGGCTAATACTTATCTGCCAATGATCTTATTAACAAACTAAATTAAACATGGAGCACTTAATTAATATGGACGACTTGATAATCGAAATTGGCTCTCGCTGGACTAGAAAATTCTAATACTCGGCTAAACTCTGAAATAATTTAAATAGACGAAAAAATGTCTAAATAAATTATTTATCTCAAATGATTAAAATAGACACTCTCGTCTAATTAATCAAATTTATAGGTCGAGCTGATAAAATAAAATGCAATAAAAATGCATAATGAATAATAATAATTCGAGATGTCTACTGAATAAAATCGGGGCGTTACAATAGATAAATATGATTTATTGTGAAATTGATTGACAATAGAAGAAAGCCACTTATTAAAAAAAATAAAATAATGTTCAAGCTCAATCTTAGATAAAATGTTTGAAAGTGAGTTAAGTTAAGGTATATAGATAAATATGGTTTATTGTGAAATTGATTGAAAATTGAAGAATGCCACTTATTAAAAAAAATATTATAATGGTCAAGCTCAATCTTAGATAAAATGTTTGAAAGTGAGTTAAGTTAAGGTA